ATAAAAAATCTGCGTCGACAAATTTACATAATCGATGTCATCGATTATTTCAACTAATCGGTGCAGCCCTAATGACATCATCAGTTTGAAGGATGTTTTTTGCACCATCCATGGTCAGAGTGGTGTCTCCGTGCATCTGTGTGAGCGTGCTCATGTGACATGTTGCATGACGGCCTGCTAACTCTGCAGCACGTTCAGAAATAGAGGTGGCRAAGTGATTCACCAGGACCACGAGAGCAGATGCAAGTGTTGCTAATTAATCATTCGCGCTGCAACACCGTGCCACAACACATGAGGATGATGGGAACGGTGACAGCATCCTGAGCCCACAGATGCCTCTTACATGATTCATACTGTTTGTCTCTCACACATTAGAGAGCTTCCAACCTGAGGGGAAAAAATAAAACAACTATTTATTCTATTCTGCAATCTGCTCAGGCACAAACTATATATTTAAGGTTTGAAAAAATATATATATAAAGTCATTATAGTTGTAGGTTTGTCCTCACCCTGTGGTGTAAGGTATGTTGATGCCTCCTAGATTGATGCTCTCACAGCCCACTATGAAGAGCGTGGAGAAGCAGAGCAGAGACACCCCGCTGCAGATCATGGCCAGCTTTGCGGACTCCCTCGCCCCGAGCTTCAGCTTCTTGATGATGTAGCCCCCCAGCACAATACCCACGCCGGCGCTGGGCACAATGATCAGACCTATGAGACCAAAGAGAACAGGAAAATCTGACGAGATGAAGGAAGTGCTGCAGATAATACAGAGAAAAAAATATAAATCTTTGTTGAGCTTGGAAAATCCCACTGAGACCACAGGTCTGTTTTAAAAGGGAAGTCTGAACCTGAAGGCAGCCTCAGCTTGCAGGTTTGTGAACTTTTATGTCTACTGTTTTGGTCAGCTTCTAACACCAGGGCTGTGTCCAAATTCAGGGGCTGCAGMCTCAGAAGGCTTACGTCACAGCGCCACACCGGAGGTTGTCCAAATTCGAAGACTCCTCCCATGAAGCTGACAAATGCGTCCTTTTTTTTGCCCAGATTTGAGGGACGGGTCCGATGGATCCTTCTTGGACCACTATATCCTATAATGCATTGCGTGCCATTGTGCAAAACTGACTTTTTTCAGCTGTATATCATGTTATAAAGTCATTCCCTCATCAAAAACATTACCAGAGTGTTGCTTTGACTCATTCATGCATGTTTGAAAAATCCTTGAATCTGTGTGGTAGCCATGTGGAGCTGCCTAAACTTGCTGATACAAAGCTCCACTCATTTACACAAAGCTCCTCCCTGGAGCTCAGTCTGCAGCTGAGCATCCCTCCCCCCACACAGCTCCACCAGACTAGCAAAACATATCTTAAAAATAGTGAATGTTCATGATTTCATTGCAAAACAGAGCTTCATAATGATTTATATTTATAGTTTCTTCACAACAATTAGCCTAACATTGACGTATATGTGAGAGTATGATACCAAGCTGAAACGTCTTGTAAGAGCCTCTGTACTCACACTGGTTCTTCAGAAAATCTACTTTCAGGATCCAATGTGGGATCATTTGAATAAGGTACAACTGTATACTGAGTTGTAATTTTCCAAAACAGATACTATATTATGTTGCTTCTTTTTGTACGACAAAAGATAAACCTTTATTGTCGTTGTACAGAGCACAATGAAATCACAGTTCAGACACAACGCTCCTACAAAATGGTTTAAACTGCATGAAGCACTGTTTTGATGACRTGCTGAAGTGGTAGTGTCAGAAACAGTAGAGGTGTTTAAAGACACAGAGACCAATTTCAAAACATTTAGCTTTTTATTTTTGATATATACATAATTTTCATAACAACTAAAAGGTAACATATTTACTTGATTGTGGTATAGAATTGAATTATGTGCCTGGAAAATATATAATACCCCCTCCAGCCTTTAGGGAATTTCAGCTACTACCACATCAAATAGCCTAATCTGTGAAACTGACTAAGTTATAGCYATTTTTGTGTTTTTTCAGGTCACTTGGCTGTGACAGAAACAGTAACCAGTTGCAGATGTCTGTCCAATAATTAATTTCTGAATGTTCCAATAAATTATTTCCAGAGGTTCGGAGATACTTTACTAAGACAAACACATGTAGACAAAAACACTGTCTTCATTTTAAAAAACTGTGGCGTTCAGCTGATTTAAACAGAAAAGCCAGCGTGACTTCCCCTTCATAAACTAAGAGTAAAATAACCAGGACAAGCTTTGTTGTATCAGGGTGACGGGAGGTTAGCAGTGAGTCACTTTAGTCTCTGACATTTGCAACAAGCCCACTAAATCTACACAAACTGACAGCATAAAACTAGTCAGATGCACCGGGAGCTAAGTGTCATCATGCAGGAATTATGGCTCAGGGCAGTAGCACGTGGCAGCCTTCGAGTTCATCCAGAAGCTCGCACAAAAATGATGAGGTCAGTCAAAGGGGGTYGGACTTTCCTCAGGAAGTGCATGAGCAAAGAAAATGACAAAAGTACAAAGAAATGTCATCTGGCAGTGGCTGCTGTGTTTGTGAGACAAACACATGAATGGAGTAGAAGAGACAAAGCACACAGTCACAACCAGACAACAGACTGGCGAATTATCATGTAAGTGCATGTTTCTGTGCTAAAACCATGTGCTTTCCACAACACACACTTAAATATACTCACAGTGACACACACATATAAACACTATTACACAGGATTAAACACTGTGCGAAGGGTTTAAAGGCTTTATCTGGATTAACAGCTCTGCTGACTTTAATGTGAGAGAGGGTTTTTTTCCAACGTGTGCCGGATGATGCACTGCAGACGTCCCAGAAACAAATAACAGACGCCCACGAGAAATGCAACAAACAACAACAGGAATGAAAGGTGCAACTTTGAAAAGAGACAAAGAAAGGGCGCCAACCAATGTGGGGAAAACCTGTGGCTGAGAGGAGCGTATATAATATGTTTTAGTTCWATTTCTGCAATAAAGTTTGGTTAACACTTTGCAGCTCTTTAAACTTGCATGCAACAGATTCATAAATGTGGTAACTTCTGTGGCTGCAGTCTTCACCTTCATGTTGATTCATCAGCCTCTGAGGCTATTCAAGTTCAAGATAACTTGATGCTACAAACTTCTTTTTATGACAACAAAAGTAGTGTTACAAGGCTGACGCCTTTTTATTTCATTTTATTAAAATAGTGAAACGTTATGTTCCAGTAGAGCTGTGTGTATATCTCTCACACTCACACACACACACACACACACACACACACACACACACACACACACACAGTAACGTCCGCTCTAACATATCATTAATGATCGTTCAGGGCAGGAAGGCTGTGAATGATAATTTCAACACAATAAATGCATTGTTCTAACACATCTAACATCAGAAGGTTATTCTTCCCACAAAAATGTTGGACATTATTTTGATTTATTTTTAAAAGAGGCCTTGAAGAAACAACCTGAATTTTATTTGTGATATACCTCATTTTATTATTTATAAATGAAAAAGCTAAGGAGCTAGGATCTGGTTTACAACACAACACTAGTTTCTTTCTATTAGGTTTTATTTTGTAAAAACCTCTGTCAACAAAGCATTCATCAAATCAGTTCATCGTTTTAGTTTAACATTTTTCTTAGACTGCTGGACAATGATTAATACATGTTTTACRAAGGATTTGATTTGAGGTTAAGTTTTTGACACTGTTGAATTTTCAATAAAGCACAAATAAAATTAACACAAATTGACAATTTGAGAACACCGTTTTAATTAGCGAAACCTGAATCAAGTTTAGGTTATGAACTCAATGTCAGTATGAACAGTTCTTTTTAAAATGAAGACTTACCTCAGTGTTTCATAAACAAAATTAAAAAAAACTAATTTAAAGAAACCTTTAGAGGAGGATGCCTATCGCAAATTAGGTTTCGTCATTAGTTGGTTAGCTTTTAAATAAATTCATACATATATTTTTTCTCAGAATTATATGAAGATAAGCATTTATAATATCATTCAATTTGTTTAAGAACCAACTGCTCCGTCAGAACATCAGTTATAAATGAGAAAACTGAATCTGTCGACCTACAGATAAAATAACAAATAATGGGTTAAACAAATTCTTCAATTTCCCTGTCAATGTTTGATGTGTTTTTCCTTATTTTTTTTTTATTAAATATGAAAAACTTTTGCTTAAAACTTTCTAAATTTGATTTTAAATATACTAGCCATTTGGTAAAACAAATTAAAATCACAATACAAAACAAATTTTACATTTTATTTATAAAGAAAACATCAGCGTTCTCAAAGGAAGCTCTGCCATCAAAAGGAGAGCCCTCAAACCCCTCTCGTCTCCGACCATCATCACAATCAAGTGTCTTGGCAACATTCAGGTAGCCATTGCAAACGCAACACCCATTTCCTCTGACCCTTTGTATCTTGGCAACACTTGCATGTATTGTGTACGTTTCTGTGTTTTGAAGGAACCGTGTTAGCCAGAGAAGTCTGACACAAAAACATATAAGCACACATCCTTTAAGGCCATTATTAAAGTTTTCAATCACTTCTTATAATAATCCTGCCACCAGATTAGTTGTTTATTAGCGACGCTGGCTCAAACACAGCTGAGGGATTAGGCTGGGTCTTTGTGCTCCCTGCAAACCATACACCGTGCACAAACTGCTGACACAACTGAGTGTGTCTGTTGCATTAATAAAGACTTTAGTGGCAAAGCTTATCAGTAAATATAATCGACAGGGTTTAATGAATTCTTACATTTTTTACAAGCTAATGAATAAGAAGCTCAACATGAGCACTGAACATCTCTGATGGTATTTATTTACCATTTCTAATACTTTACACATCAGTATAAAGGCAATAATAAAATAAAGAGCCTTTTGACTTCTTCCTAATTAACCACTGATGCCATACTGCAGAGCGTCGTTCATCCTTGATGGTGGCCCAYGGGGGACCGTTCCTGTACTCACTCACAAACAACCCAAACACAACACTGACTTAGCTGTAAGACTGAAGMAGATTTCATTAAAGTAATAAAATCTTTAATAGAATTCTGATGTAGAGGACCCAAATTTTAAAAAACAAAAAAGTAAAAAGTGGGATTTACCTGTGTATATGCTGGCGTTGGAGGCAGGAATGCCGAACTGGGACTCGATGAATTTGGGAATGAAGGTGATGAAGGCTGTGACAATGGCACACTCAGCTGTGTAGGACAAGCTGACGAACAGGAACGTCACGTTGCTGAGGATTCTCAGCGCAGCCTTGGGGAGGTCTGGGACCAAAAATAAAAAATAAAACAGTAGCTTTAATACCTTTAAAGTGTAATTAAACCCAGCCAGTTTATTGTCAACCCAACCCTTCCCAATCTAAACAGAACTTATAATAATAACATGAGCAGATACTTCATGAAAAACAAAACGGCTTCTCTTTCAGGAACCGAGCTCAACCATGTCTCATTAGTCTGGGTAGGCATTTTCCTTTCACGCAACAATGCAGAAGCAAATAAAAACCTGAATACACAAATGTTACATGATGTTCAATATTAAAATGTTAACAAATGAGCACAATTTAGACATCAACACTCTTTAATTTCCAGTCTACCTTTAAATTTTGTTATTCTGGGCCCTTTATGCCTGTTTGAGGGTTGTGTGCAAGTGATGAAGAACTCACATTTGATCACTAAAATAGTACAGAATAGAGCATACTGTATATTACAGAGTGTACCAGCTTTAGCTTCTACACTGATGAAATGCTTGTAGTGGTTTTGTCTGTTATTAGAAGTGAAGACTCCTACTGCCAGGGGAAATCAAACAATCATTAGCAGCTGATCGACCATTTTCCAAGTCTATTCAACAACTCTGCATGATGTCAGCCTGTAACAGTAAAAAGCTTTATACACAAATTGCTACATTTAAAAATAGGAACTTTGAGTTATTGAGCAATGAAGCACATTTTTTTTCATTTGTAATGTGTGTCCATGAACTAGTCTGGGAAAGTGCATGTCATCAAGAACAATGGCAAATATGTCAAAAATGCTTTCCTGCCAATATTCTGCACTGGAGCATGCAAGGCTGCATATTTTGCCTCAAGGCTGGCAAAAATCTGTGGTCGCATTTCTTCATCTTAAGAACAGAAAAAAGGAGACACTTCATGTAGGGGCGCCACAGTAGACRTATCTGTATCGAACCGTTCAATGCACTGCTTTAGGTTCAATACACACAATGTATCAAATAATACATCCATCCATCCATCCATCCTCTGTACACGCTTATTCCTTTTCAGGGTCGCGTGGGTCACTGGTGCCCATATCCAGCAGTCACAGTGCGAGGGGCGGGGTTACACCCTGGACAGGTCGCAAGTCCATCACAGGGACACACATAGAGACAAACAAGACAAACAACCATTCACTCTCTCACTCACACCCGGGGACAATTTAGAGTTATCAATTAACCTAACAGTCATGTTTTTGGTCTGTGGGAGGAAGCCGGAGTGCCCGGAGAGAACCCACGCATGCACGGAGAGAACATGCAAACTCTACCCAGAAAGGTCCCCGGACCGGGATTTGAACTGGTGACCTTCTTGCTGAGAGGCATCAGCTCTACCATCTGAGCCACCATGCCGCCTAAAAAAAATCCAGGGACGCCAAATCAACTAGGTAAAATTAGAGGCTTTAAAATCTGTTATTTAAAAATGAGAAGTCTTGTACCTAAACTGGATGAATTCAAAGTAATACTTGCTCAGACACAAGCACATGTTATGGCTATATCAGAATCATTGCTGACTCCTGCTATACCAAATTAGTTTTTTACAGTTGAAAATTATTCCTTGTATCGTAGAGACCGTACTGATAGGCTTGGAGGTGGTGTTGCAGTTTATGTTCACAAGAAATAACTCATATTCTATAATAGAATTGTCAACTGAGTCTGAATCTCTGCAATTAGAAATCAAGYTTACAMATCACCTTTCAGTAACGGTTGTTGTTACATATAAACCTCCAAGTGTTAATTCAACTAAATATTTAGAGCAGCTCACTGACATTATAAAAGGCATAAAATCAAAAGAATTTGTGATTCTTGGTGATATCAATATGAACTGGGCTGATAAAACTTCAAAAGGCCTGAAAGCAAAGTCTTTAAGCTTAGGGCTTCAACAGTTAATTAAAGTACCAACAAGATTTGGCAAGACATGCAATTCCATTTTGGATCTTATTTTCACAAATCGATCCTCCATATATGGCATATCTGGAGTTATAAATACAAATATATATACAAATATAAATAGTCTTGGATCATTCACTTATTTATGTCATTAGAAAAAACCTTAAGAAACCTACAGGTCATGTGCATAATTTCATTAAAAGGATTCCAAAATCAAAGTTACCCATGTTTCATGCTGAGATTGAGAATACGAACTGGAATGAGGGTATTTCTCTGTCAAATCCAAATCGCTTTTTGTCAAATTTTTATGATAAGTTGGAGACGATACAGGAAAAATATATTTCAACTTGTAAAGTTCCAGTCTGGAAATATGAAATTCCATGGTTGAACGCCTCTATAATACATCTCCTAAAGTTGAAAGCTTMTTCAATGAAAACTTATAGAATATCAAAAACTTCTGAAAATCKGTCTCGTTTAAACAGTTACCGAAATAAATGTGTTGCTGAATTACGCAAAGCCAAACAACAATATTTTAAAAATCWAATTATTTCAGCCAGTAAGAATCCAAAAATATTATGGGAAACGATTAAGTCAGTGACTGGTGAAAGTAACAATAAAACATTTAATAACAGTTCACAAATCTCAGTAAATGGACTTCTTGTTTCTGATCATGAAAAAATTGCTAACTTATTTAATGAATATTTTATTTCTTCAGTAAGGACATCATTTCCGGGACAAGCTAATAGTTTAAAGTTATTTAAACATCCTGACACTTCAAAGCAATTTTCATTTTCTGAAATTTCAGAGTGATGTTTTGAATACACTCCAATCTCTAAATGGCTCACATGCATTTGACAAATATAAGATAAAYATGGATTTCTTGAAAATGCATGCCAACACTTTTTTACCATTGTTTCATCATTTGCTTAATTTATGTATTGTGCAGTGTATTTTCCCTGATGCCTGGAAGTTTGCTCAGATTACTCCCATTTTTAAATCTGGTGATCCAACCGAAGTTTCAAACTATCGGCGAATTTCTGTTCTTCCTATTTTTCTCAGTTACTTGAAAAAACATTATTTAATCAACTACTTCAGCATCTAGAAGCTAATAATATGCTAAGCAATAGCCAACATGGTTTCCGCACGTCAAGGTCAACCATGTCTGCATCAATTTTATTCACTGAACAAATACATGCTGCTTTGAACAAAGGTTAAGTAACTGGTGCTGTATATATTGATTTTCGTAAAGCGTTTGACACAGTTGATCATTATACTCTCTTACAAAAGTTGATTTCTTTTCAACTTTCATCATCTGCATTACGAATGTTTTCCTCTTATTTGACTGATAGGTGTCAGGTTGTGAAACATGGAAGCTCTGTGTCCGGGTCTCTGYCCTGTTCCGTGGGAGTTCCACAGGGTAGCATACTGGGCCCATTGCTTTTCTTATTATACATAAATGACCTTCCAAAAATATTGAAGTATTCAAATATTTTAATGTATGCTGATGATACTGTTCTTTTTTGTCTGATTTCAATATTGAATCTATTAATAGTCAGTTACAAGCAGATCTTCAGACATTTCATGGTTGGCTTCAAGATAATCTTTTGTCAATTAATGTTAAAAAAAACTGTGTGCATGTATTTTTCCTCACCCAGGAGACATTTCAATATAACAAATCAACTCACTTTTTTAAACAAACCCCTTGATACTGTCACTACCTACAAACATCTTGTTTAGGACATTTTTAACTGTTTACAATGTGGGTGAGAATGTAACTGGTGCCTTTTTAGAGTCTTTTGTGATAAATAACACACTTGTTTATTGCTTATTGCAAACAAATCGGATCTCCAGTCTGATTGGATCGTCTGATTTGCTCCATCGTTCATTTTTGTTCCATCTCAAATGGGTACAGAATGACATCTAAATGAAGGGTATGCTGTTCTGAAACAAAAAACGTCAGCAGTTTTCTCTTGCATTAAATCCACACAAGGCACCTCTGCAGAATTTATGTCTTCCTATATATGAATGATCCTTTTAGCGCTCTACAGATGGATGCATTTTATCATGAAGCACTAAGATTCATAACAGGTTGTAAACTCTTCACTCACTGCTGCACTTTGTATTTTCCAAGTTACCTGGCCAACAGTGTCCATTCACAGACTTTGAATTGTTATATATTTTTAATTTCAAATTCACCTTTGGCTTTCTGCCAACATWTTTATCAAACAATATGCCACCTATAACAAAGCAGCTACAGCCTACGCCCACAGTCTTTGATTACTTTAACAGTTCCCTCAGTATGTGCAGAGCTCAAAGACAATTTCTAACACTGCTCTTTGTCTTGTAACAAATTAAACCATGACCCGAATTTCTCCTTACAGTTTGATTATAATGGATTTAACATTTATTTAAGGAAAACTAAAGAAAATGAAACCCCTTTTTGATATTTTATCCTGCTTTGTTTGATACTAGGCCTGACACAAATCAATCCAATGATGTCACAATAAATGCGATGAGGTCAAAAAATAAAATTAGGCTGATAATTTTCATTTGCCGGCTTGTATGTTTTCTTCACATCCCCCCTTTTTAGAGTAGAAAGAAGTGAACTCTTGGATTAGGTATTTGCCTGGCTCATGGTCTCATAACCGTTGTAGAACGAGAACTGGATTTTATCCAGAGGAGCGTCTTTGGTTTTCTGACGAATTTCTTTCATCTTGCATGCCTCAAGACGCATACAGAATAAACTATGCTGGCTTGGATAGAGGTGAGTAGCAATGGTGGGGACAATTTTTGACCATTTTCTCGGTACACACAGCCTGGTGAAGACCCACTGTTCCTTATGGGGACAAAAGCTTGGTCCCCATTGGGGGAAATACGATTAGTGGGTCAGAGGTTTGGTTTAGGACTAAAGTGTGAATTGAGTTTAGGTTAGGTTTTGGGTAAGGTATGTACTGCGGGAGTTAGGTTTAGTGTAAGGGGTCAGAGTTAGGCTATGGAAATGACCAGTAAATGAATGGAAGTCAATACAAAGTCCCCATGAGGATAGAAGAACAAACATGTGTGTGTCATATTTTTTTTAAATGGTCTAAAAACGATATAGTTTGTTGCAATAATTTTCAAGACAATTTATAGTTCAGCAAAATACGTTATCCTGACAGGCCTATTTTGCAATACTGTATATTGTTTGAATTGTAGCAACCAATAAATCTGCAACTGCATCCTTTATATTTGAAACAGGTCCAACTTCAGAATAAGCAATGTGTCTAAATGACATTACCAACACACAGATATAAAAAAAAAAATATTATAAAAAAATAGCCTTGACAATTGGCAGTTTGTTACAATAGATCCAAATGCTAACAAAAAAACGTTAGGCTGCAGGATAAACACAAACTTTAGTTCTGAATGTTCAGAACCAGTAAAGAATCTTGAACAGTTTGAATGGTATATGCTGAATTGATCGTGGTAACATACCAGCTRAAAAGTCTGCCTCTGCATTTCTAATCCCGTGAGGTAATTAATCACTTACTGAGACGTGGTTATGATGCACTGTGTCAGCAGTCATTTTCCCAAGCCTTTGAACCTTTCTAGGAAAACTGCTTTCTCACAGCAGCAGACCCAAAGCCTGGAACATTCCACAATCAGAATGTTGTCCCCCTGACATGCATTACTGAATGCATTTGATGTTAGCCGTTTTCAGTGTTTGCTTGTGATATCTTTCACAGAAAATGCTGAATTTGTGCAACGGACAAACAAGCATACCTCAACAGAAGGACACGTACAGTACTAAAATACATTCAGGATCCACACATTGAAGTGCCTGAGTCTGCAAAATTGGCCGTGGTTTGCACAGCAGCCCAAAACATCCCGCTGAGACAAATAAAACAGCAGCTGAGCAAGCAGCGATCTGACGAAGCTGTAACGCATTCGCACTGCGTGCATCTCCAAGACAAAGCACTGTTTTGACTGGCCCGGTTGTGCACATAAGCATTAATTTTTGTGTGTGGAGCCACAATAAATACATGGTTGAATTTGCACGGAAAAAAGCATACACTAGGAAAACAAGAAAGATGCTTTTTAGCTGCGCTATGCAGCCTGTCTACTCCTGTGTGTGGAAATGTGACTGAGGTCCCCTGAGAGCTAATTTAAAAGAGAACCATGAGCAAAAACGAGACAAGAGGAACCTGGGAAATACCAAAGCAGGAGAGAGCTCATCTGGGGAAAACAGGGAGATTCCTGGCATATTGGACTCGGAAAAGACTTGAAAATATTCTGGCTTCAGTGTAAAATGGTCCCTTTTTAATATCCATTTACTTTAAGCCCCCAATACTCTTCCACACTAGTTCGTCATCAATCAGTTATATMTTTACAGAAGATCTTTGTGACTCTTCTGTTACTGGATGAGTAATCCCCAACACTGAGTGAATTATATCCTGTTTGCACATCAATAGCTCACAGTTTATTTATGAAAAGTACTAACATCAGCTCAGAATTTAGAGGTGAAAGGATCACTTTCTCACCTTTGATATCCTTTCCAAAACCCATAGAGGATGACACATTTTGATCTTTGCTACTCGACTTCTCTTTCATCACGTCGTCATCGCTCGACACGTCGCCCGGTGAGCCCATCTTTTTCTTCCTCTTCCTCTTCTTGTGACGCGGAGGCAGCTTTTTGGGGAAGGCAAACATGGGGAAGATGACCAGGAGCATAGCGACGGCACACAGGAGGAAGCCGCTCCACCTGGAAGAAATGAAACAAGAGTGGGATGGAAAATAATTCAAAACAGGGAGCACATATACTGAAACGTGATGGTACTTGGGTCTCCATGTATAATTACCAGTTGCCAACAAAGCGAGGGTCGTTCTGGTCGATGTTCACAACAGTTTTAGGGTCAACATAGAACCCAATGAGGACACCTCCCAGCAGGTAGCCAGCAGCAGGTCCCAGGGCTCCCATCACGTACATAATAGCTAAAAACAAAAGACAAAACCAATCAGAAACATTGACTTAACACTGCTTTAAAAATTAGCAAGATTTTTTAAAGTTTTGACAAAAATAAAACCCTTGTTATACTGTATATGTATCCCATAATAAGGACTGCTTTAGCACTTATATTTTTGTCCACTTTCCTCCTTAATAACCTTCTGCTCAATGTTTATTTGCCTTAGACCTTCAGGGCCTGTTTATTACCTCTGATTCCTCATTCACCTCATTCAAAGCATGTGTTCTGTGAGCAGTGGGAACTCTCCACCATCCCTGAGGTTATTCCTTACAGCTTCTGAAGTGTCTGTAAAAACCGACCTGGAAGCTCCAGAGTTCTCACCTAAGGGTGTACCAGCAAACCACAGTGCAATTTGCGGTGAAATATTAATCCTCTGGGGTCTTAAATCATCACCAAGGTGAGGGAAATGTGCCACAGTTTAGCCACAGGGAGACAGAAAACTCATTAAATTTAGATAACCTTAGTTGGACAAGTGGAAAACTCTCCTGCGGACATCCAGCAGGGAGGCCAGTCAAAACCATTTACGGGTTGAAATACGGGGCAAACTTTCTATAATTACACATGATGGAACATTGTTGGAATTGGGAATGAGTGTGCGCTTGTGTGAACTTGTGAGTCGATGGTTTAAAACTTTCTTGTTGCGTGTATGCATATGCTTAAACATGTTTTTGTGCGTGCCAAATTTCGCACCCACACCAACATTTCTGGTATATTTCCTCTTAGAAAATAGCAACAAACCAAATGCTGCTGCCCTCACCTCCCACATTTACGCACACCTTCAAAATGCTTCTGTAGCTTCATTTATTTCTCTCAAAGCTTGTTTTCTTGGATGACAGCACCAAACCCCATCAGTGTGCTGGTGTTTGCAGTCTGTGTTTGGTTGCAAAGGCAGCAGGTGTGTTGTGTGTCCAAACCAGCACTCAGAAGTCTAATCTCTCCCGAGACCAAAAGAACATATCTCCCAGCCAGATTGCATAATAGCTGCATGCACACACACATTTCACCCGCCAGCAAGTAGGTTTACTTCAGTTTGAAATGAAAACTGTCTTCTGTAAGACCATCTCTTATAAATTCATATAAGGTCCTGTGGAAAGACTAAAAATATCTTATCTGTGTTAGTTGTTTAAAAAGAACTCAGTTTACGGAATCTACAGAAAAACCTAATCTTTTCCCCAAACCACTTTTAAAAATATCTAAATATTCACTCTAAGCATACACCGGGTAAAATAAGTATTGAACATGTCACCATTTTTCTCAGTAAATATATTACTAGAGGAGCTAATGACATRAAATTTTCACCAGATGTYGGTAACAACCCAAGTGATCCATACATACAAAGAAATCAAACCATAAATGTCCAGAAATGAAGTTATTTGTAATAATGTGGAATGGCACAGGGAAAAGTATTGAACATGCTTACTGAAATTTATCTAATACTTTGTAAAAAGCCTTTGTTGTCAATGACAGCCTCAAGACGCCTCCTGTATGGAGAAACTAGTGGCATGCATTGCTCAGGTGTGATTTTGGCCCATTCTTCCACACAAACAGTCTTCAAATCTTGAAGGTTTCGTGGACCTCTTCTTTGAACTCTGATCTTTAGTTCTTTCCATAGATTTTCTGTTGGATTCAGGTCAGGTGATTGGCTGGGCCATTCCAGCAGCTTTATTTTCTTTCTCTGAAACCAACTGAGAGTTTCCTTGGCTTTGTGTTTGGGCTCATTGTCTTGCTGAAATGTCCAGCCATGTTTCATCTTCATCATCCTGGTAGATGGAAGCAGATTTTTATCAAGAATGTCTCTGTACATTTTTCCATTCATCCTTCCTTCAATTATTTGAAGTTTGCCAGTACCRTATGCTGAAAAACAGCCCCACACCATGATGTTCCCACCTCCAAACTTCACTGTTGGTATGGTGTTTTTGGGCTGATGTGCAGTGCCATTTGACCTCCAAACATGAGGTGTATTATGGCATCCAAACAGTTTAGTTTTGGTCTCATCTGACCAGACTATATTCTCCCAGTATTACACAGGCTTGTCTAAATGTTGTGCAGCAAACTTTAAAGGAGCTTCAACATGCTGTTTCTTCAGCAGTGGAGTCTTGCGTGGTGAGCGTGCATACAGGCCATGGTGGTTCAGTGCATTACTTATTTTTTTCTTTGAAACAATCATACCTGCTAATTCCAGGTCTTTCTGAAGCTCTCCACAAGTGGTCCTTGGCTCTTGGACAACTCTTCTGATAATTCTTTTCACTCCTCTGTCAGAAATCTTGTGAGGAGCACCTGGTCGTGGTCGGTTTATGGTGAAATGATGTTCTTTCCACTTCTGAATTATGGCCCCAACAGTGCTCACTGGAACCTTCAGAAGTTTAGACATTCTTCTGTAACYGATGCCATCATTATGCTTTGCAACAATAAGGTTGTGAAGGTCTTGAGAGAGCTCTTTACTTTTACCCATCATCAGATGGCTCTTGTGTGATACCTGGCCATCATTTGGGACTGAACAAATGAACCAGCTGATATTAACTTGCACTGACAAGGGGCAGGCTTGCTTTCTAATTACTGAGAGAGTTCAGCTGGTGTCTTGGCTTTCCATGCCTTTTTACACCTCCCTTTCTTCATGTGCTCAATATTTTTCCCCCTGTGCCATTCCACATTATTACAAATAACTTAATTTCTGGACATTTATGGTTTGATTTCTTTGTATGTATGGATCACTTGGGTTGTTACCGACATCTGGTGAAAATTTCATGTCATTAGCACCTCTAGTAATATATGTACTGAGAAAAATGGTGACATGTTCAATACTTATTTTACCCGCTGTAATAAAAGGCATCCATTTCTAGTTTCAGATCTTTAATTTTCCTTTTTTGAAAGTGGATTACAAAAGCCATGTTCTTTGTAATAGAAAGACCCAAACAACATCCCAAAGCACAAATTCTTATCAAATCTTAATGAAATCACTTGTTCATTGTACAAAACCTCTTATCAGCAGAAAACAGGGTCTATGTTATAATGGAAAACAACAATGGGCTCCAAAGACTGTTTAAGGTTCTACACAAATGCAAAAATAAATTCCAAAAGGAAAGAATGAAGTATTTGCATAAAATATACATTTTAGTTTGTGTACAAACTGTGTTGCAGCAGCTGCAACAAGCAGTCTCATTCCCATAAAATCTACGTTAGAAGTAGGATCCCTTTTCCACAAACCATAAAAATAAAAGTTAAAAAAAGACAGGTTCAATTCCGCTGTCATTTCCTGTCTCTTTCACCATTTTTGTCACATATCTTATATCATCTTTTTAACTTCTTTCACTGTCATTTTTCATTTCCTGCTGCCTGGAGAGTCAATTCACCGCAGCAGTGAAAGCATTCACAAAGTAACAGGATATTACCACCCAGAGACACTGAACAATAAATTATAGCTGGAAAGGACACCAATGGGTCTTTTACTATCTCAATCTTGAAATTTAAAAAAAAATTCTCACAAGCAATGGTATCGAAACCAAGTGATTCTTGCCAGAGAAAACCATCAAATAATTAGCGCTGAAAAAGCTTGAATAATGGTTACATTTGACAGTGACTGCGATGGCTCATCTTTATTTATTTTTCTAATACAAGAGCTGTGGAATAACAACTGATGAACCATCATAAAAATGGTTAAAGATGAATTCRTTACAACTGGGCTGCAAGTTGCAACTAACTGAGAAAAATGTGAGGTTCAAATTTATGCTCTTATACAACACAAACCCAAATTCATTACAGAACTGTTTCCACTGAGCAGAACTCTCAGTTGTTTAAGTTCTGATTGGAAATAGAGATAACCTTAGAATTGCAAAATTTAAAACCTAGATAAATTCACAGAACACATTAAGATGAACACGTTTTTTTATTAGAGAGCAGCAACTATTCACATATAAAACACCATCCTTTTAGCATATCCTGGCTTGAGTTTGATAGACCAGGTGCATCCATCCAGGCAGAGGTTAACCGCCACATATGGTACTTTGGTTGCCCTCCAAACTCCATCCTCCAGGAATGGCTGTTTTATTCCCTTTGGGGAAGTGTGTAGCTCCGTCATCCATCATTTTAACAGTGCTCTGCTCTACTGGAGGACAAAAGGGGGTCACATAAACCGTGCCTTACTCGTTACTTTACCCTGCCCTCTTGGTATCAGGAGAGGTCAGTTCAGGACCAGGTAGTGGAAGGTATTTGAGGGCCAGGGCATGGCCACAGGACTGGGGAATATGCTGGCACAGCAGCAGTGCTCCACACAAACTCAACACACAAGGCTGTGGGTGGCAGACGTCACAGGCCTGCAGGAAATGAATGCCAATGAAGATCGCGTGGCGCCCACAGGCTTACTTAAATTATACAAAAGACCTTCAACCAGCAGCACCTGAAGGACAAAACAATAAGGACTGCTTTTTATGCTTTCTAAATGTTTAGAGGTAACGGTTTAGCAGATTATCAATGCAGTTATCAGCTTTTTGTTTATGTAAAGATTACATCTAAATTGCATTTGGGGTAAATATGATACTGAGGAAGAATTTGAGCTGTGTGTCAAAGAAATCTAATCAGAAAACAATGTTTATCATGCTTCTCTAAGGTTTGTTACTAACTGTAAAGCCTTGACCCATCATTGTGAACTGTATGTTTGTCGACTGGGACATTGGTACACTTTATAAGGCGTCCTGATGCATCTCAGTAATCCAGGTAAAAAATCAAAAGAAAAAAATTGTATAGGTCCTCTGGACGGGTTCTTCTTTAATGAAACGTTTCGTCTCTCTTCCAAGAGACTTCTTCAGTCTGAGAGTTTCAGGCAAAATTCAGGCTTTTGAGTCCTGCCTCCTTTATAAGGCCATTCATGGGCTGTTTCCTTCCTACAACTATGAATTAGTCAAAGCACGAAGAAGAGTTGATTCTTACTATTTGCGTTCAAATGGCCTTTTCTTGCTCTCTTTTCTAGCCTGG